TGGGGTGAAAAGGTAATTGAGAACTGAAGTAACATTACTATAAAATGAATACAAAAATTAGAAAAATCCAGGACTTGATTAAGTACTCCTGAAAATTCATTACCAACGTGCAAGAATGACTTGAGAAGGAAATGTCAGCCCACTCCAGTATTCTTGCCTGGAGAATCCCATGGACAGAGGAGCCTGGTGGGCTATAGTCCATGGGGTCACAAAGAGTCAAGACATGACTGAGCAATACAAGGAGGAGGAGTAAGAATGACTAGAGATAAGTGCAGTAAAAGCAGAGGAAAAGACAAATATAAAGAAATTAATGAGAACAGATATGGAAGACATAGAAAAAGACCTTTCAATGTAGGATAATCAGGATTCCTGAAGTATATCCCTCCTCCCCCAATGAAACAGAAGACATGTTCAAAGATATAAGAGCATTCTCCTGAAATGAAAAACTAAAGCTACATACAAATCGTGTGATACAGTAAGTTCAAAATAGAGACAAATCCTAGTTACATTATTGAACTCCAAGGATTAAAATAAATGAAAGAAATTATTCATCATCCAGACACCCAATTAAGAAGAAAGGAAAAAAAAATCAGTTTTCTTCAAAATTCAGTGCCAGAAGACACTGAAGCAGTGTCTATGACATTCTAATGGAAAGAAAGTGTGGCTCAGATTATGTCTGGCCATAGTTCATCTGGGTACAATGGGAAGATACTGGCACACATGAAATACACAATTAGCTTCTTGAAAAACTTTATGATCATGAAATCCAACCAATTAAGACATGCAGCAAAATAATTAATTCAAAAATAAAGAAGTCATGTTAAGAAGGCCAAATGGTAAACACTGAATGCACTTAAAAATTGATTCAGTACCACTACAGAAATTAGGACTACTTAAGATAGTGTGACTGTTGTAAGCCTGTGCTATAAAAAATAATATAATGAAACCCGAGAGGTACAGGAGAAGAGATGAAGAGAAGAATAGGAGTGGCAATGTCCTCATCCTGCAAAGGTAGATACCGTCTACAATGAAACCCTTGTTAAATAACTATGATTCCACACAATTGAAGGCTTGCCTTAATTATTTTTAAACCTTAGAAGGACCTTTTAGTAAATAGTACCTCCTCTGGAAACAATCTAAGTGTTCATCAACAGATGAATGGATGAAGAAGATGTGGTCTATGAATATACACATACAGGTGGTGGTCCAGAGATTAGGGCTCGATCCTTTCACTTCAGGGGGCCCAGGTTCAATCCCTGGTTAGAGAACTAAGATCCCACAAGCTTCATGAAATGGCCAAAAAGATAAATTTTAAATAAATAAATATACACATACATACACACAAAATGGAAAGCCACTAAAAAGATAGAATCTTGCCATTTACAACAACATGGATGGACCTTTAAGGGTATAATGCTGACTGAAATAAATCAGACAAGTATTATATGATTTCATTTACATGTGGAATATTAAAAAATAAACAAGCAAACCAAACCAAAGAAAACACAGATACAGAGAACAGATTAGTGGTTACCAGAAGGGAAGAAGGGTGCGGGAAGGTGAAATGGGTAAAGGGGGATAACTATATCGTGAGAAATTGGTGATGAGTATGCTGTAGTGTATATAGAAGTAGAAACAATGTTGTTGATGATGTTAGAAACCAATGTTATCTCATTAAAAAAAAATAAAACACTATCTCTTGTGATAGAAAAAAGTTATTATTCAACATTTTTTTAGTTTTACTTGTGTATTTTTCTTCTATTAAAGTCAGTAAACTTAAACTAAGTATTTCTTTATACCATGATTCCAATTTTTAAAGTTGGGGTTTTTTTTTTTTAACATTTTCTGTAAATTTTCAAACAACCCCAAAAGTAAACCATCATATACCTATTACCTAACTTCACAGTTACTAAAATTTTTACCTTTTTCTCTCTCTTTCTCACATACACACACAGAGAAATATTTGCAGTTTGCCTACTAAAGAACAGTAACATCTAGAAAGTAGAATTTGGGCTGATTTAAATTTTATCCTTGTATTTTCTGCCCTGTTGAGTTCTTTGTCAAGAGCCTATAATATTATAAGAAACAGAAATGATATCTTTTCCTCCTTCCTAGCCACCCCCACCCCCATGCCTTTCCAAAATAACTAGAAGCAAGTAAGTCAGATCACTAACATTGATAGGTGTGGTGAAAATGTACATAATTATTTTTATCTTTTCTGTTTTTTTATTTCCAAAATCAGGAAGACTATTGGAGAGAGCAATGAGAAGATATACCATACAAATTGGCAGATTCCCAGTAGACATTCTTATCCTCCCCTCAAATCCTTTTCAGTCTTGCTACAAAGCCTCAGGGTTAAAAGGCACCCCCTCTCTGTTTTAGAAAAGAGCTGTATCTGGACTACCTTATTCAAGCTTCATAACAACCCTCAAAGGTTGATATTCTTGTGATTGCAACTTCATAGACGAGGAAACCAAAGCATGAAGAAGTTAAGGAGCTTGTCCAAGGCCAACCACTAGTAACCACTGGAGCTGGGCTTCAGACTCAGGTGGAGAAGCAATTCCTGAGGCCCAGACCCTCCTCGTCCCCTCCTTCTTGCTTAGAGAAAGGAGGCCTAGGGTTTTCTTTTTTGCTAAATCACTTCTTTTTTTTTTTCCTCCATTTATTTTTATTAGTTGGAGGCTAATTACTTTGCAATACTGTAGTGGTTTTTGCCATACATTGACATGAATCAGCCATGGATTTACATGTGTTCCCCATCCTGATCCCCCCTCCCACCTCCCTCTCCATCCCAATCCCTCTGGGTCTTCCCAGTGCAACAGCCCCGAGCACTTGTCTCATGCATCCAACCTGGACTGGTGATCTGTTTCACCCTTGATAATATACATGTTTCAGTGCTATTCTCTCAGATCATCCCACCCTCGCCTTCTCCCACAGAGCCCAAAAGTCTGTTCTGTACATCTGTGTCTCTTCTTCTGTTTTGCATATAGGGTTATTGTTACCATCTTTTTAAATTCCATATATATGTGTTAGTATACTGTATTGGTGTTTATCTTTCTGGCTTACTTCACTCTGTATAATGGGCTCCAGTTTCATCCATCTCATTAGAACTGATTCAGATGAATTCTTTTTAATGGCTGAGTAATATTCCATAGTGTATATGTACCATAGCTTCCTTAAAAATATGGAACACTTCACGAATTTGCGTATCATCCTTGCGCAGGGGCCATGCTAATCTTCTCTGTATCGTTCCAATTTTAGTATATGTGCTGCTGAAGTGAGAACTAAATCACTTCTTTTGTGTCGAACTTTGTGACCCCATGGACTGTAGCCCACCAGGCTCCTCTGTCTCTGAGATTCTCCAGGCAAGAACACTGGAGTGGGTTGCTATGCCCTCCTCTAGGCCATCTTCCTGATCCAGGGATTGAACCCATGTCTCTTATGTCTTCTGCATTGGCGGGTAAATTCTTTACCATTAGTGCCATCTGGGAAGCTTTGGAGCCTGACTTGAGTTTTAATCCTAACCATTTCTAGCTTAGTTGCTTAACTTCTCAAAGCCTCCGTTCCTTCCTCTGTAAAACTGGGGAAAGCAAAGGTCTTCATTCACTCGTCATTGGGAGCTTCAAGAGAGGTAAAACTCATAAGGCATTTCACAAGTTCCCAACACAGACGTTCTAAATAAATGTTAATTACAGTCTACATCAAAGGAACAAGATAGTCAACACCTCTCTTAACAGTCACTTATTCATAGAACCCTGATATATTTGATGTCCTGGGCTGCCTCCATGGGAGCATCAGGCTGCTTAGAAGATGAGATCCCCCCCACTGAATTGGATGGAAGGGGTGCTGCCTTTACCTCTGTTTTGATTTGGATTTTACCAAACAGAGCAGCCTCTCCAGACCAGCAGAACAGACCTACACACACTGGCTCTGTGAAGGTTCTCGGGGAGACAGAGTCTGCCACTTTGAAAGACATTATTTTATATTGAAAATGGGACACAAGAAAACTCAGAACATGTAAGACCTAAACAAGCCAAGCTTGCACAGCATTCCTTCTCTGAGCACAGCTTCCCAACCAGCTCGTGAACGGTCACAGGACACCTGACATTCATCCTTGGGGCTCATGGCCACCAGCCCAGAATGTCAGTTTCACGACAGGATATCATAAATATCACTGTTATTTATCAGTACTTCAATGCGGGAAGGCCTGGGAAGCAACAGAGTTCAGTACTACTTGTCCAAGGGTTGTTTAAGAATCATTGACTGTGATTTAGAATCCTGATGTTAATCCTTCAATGAAAATTCCTGGACTGTAAACCATCCCAGTGTTTGTCTCTCTGACTCGGGAGTCTGTCAAGCAATACATGCCACTCTCCCAAGGACTGCAGCGGGAACCAAGAAATGCGGGCCCTAATTAGACTCCCAGTATTATTTAGCTTATCCCACAAAGGATACTTTGATACAAACCTGTGACTCTGACTTATCTGGCAATCTCCAACTATATTGCAATCAGCTGCCCCACAAACTGACAGAGATGGCCAGAAGCCACCGCATTTTAAAAACACACCTTAATGAAAAATCGCTTTTCCATCAGATCCACCCCATTTGAATAGAAAAACAAAACACTTTGTCGCTTCTAATAAGTACAGAGAGCCTGACAAGGTAATGACTTTTTTCTCCCCCGGCATGAATCTCAAATATAATAATGTCTAAATACGATTTTTATCGTTAGACATTCTGTTAGGGAGCAAAAACTGAATTCTTGGACTATGCACTTTGGGTCTGTCTCTCAGTCACTGACTCAGAAATAAATTCAGTCCGGTTCTGAATGAACCGGACTCCTGCATGCGACGGTTTATGACAGATGACGATATATGATGAGAATACAAAACCCTGATGATAATAGGTTTATTTATCGATTGTGAATAAAATTCATGAAGTGTGAAGCTGAAAACTGCACTGGAGGGAATTGGGCAGGGAGGCCGTCAGGAAACGTGCGCATGACACGGAAATGGAGCAAGGAGCTGCCTGATGGAGGCCAGGGTGGCCGTGGAGACGGGGGCTGGGGTGGAATGTGGATGCCGCTGCCCACGGGCTCGAGTCCTTGGGCAGAAGACACAGTCCTCTTTCTCCTTCCACCTCCTCACCAGCACATTAGGCTTGTGGGAGGTGGGGTGGAAAGAAAGCCACGGGAAGTCAGAAGGCTGAGGTTCCAGAACCAGCTTGGCCACTAACAAGCTGTGTGACCTTGGGCAAGAGTTTTAATCCCTAATGGCCTCTATTTTCTTTCTCTGTAAAAGAGGATAACTTATTCACTGAACAAACACCCCAGTGCAGAGTGTTGAGCCTGGTAAACGCCAAGGTGAGTAAAGTGAGGCTGCCGTATTGATTGGAAGTTCAGCTCTGTAAACAACTCCAGTACAGACCAGTCCAGTGCAATGAAATACACAGCCAACTCAGCACTGTGTCTTGGCATTCCCAGCCTTTATACTGGGAATGCCTTTATACTAATAACCTTTATACCTTTATACTAAATTCTATACTTTAAAATACAAAATAGTCTTTTCCGTGCCCTTGAGAAGGTCCCAATGAAAATGGGCTAAAAGGGCAGCGAAATATGAGAGGCTTTTTAACTCCCAGGCAAAGTCGCACGTCTCAGAAGGCCAGGAGGACAGGACTGCAGACCTAGGAAGTCATTTGCATATTGCTGGGTGATTTACAAACCGGAGAGAGCCCGCGGTCTCAAAAGTACCTTCCCTTGCTGGCTCCCTCACCAGACACTGCTGAGACAGCTCAAAAGCCTACGGAAGAGTTGTGCCCAGTGAACGTGGGAATTTGCATACCATCATCTCACAGGACAAGACCCAGAAGGGAAGCACCTCTTTGTTTTATTTCTCTTCCGGCAGGCCCCAGAAGCAAGCTCACAGGAAGCCCTTAATGACAGAACTTCCTGAGAAGTAGTTTCCAGAGAGTCATGGCAGGTCGGCAGTGACGGAAGGAGAGAATAATTATGGCTCCAATTTAGGTTAGTGACAATAAAGTCTTGAAGTAGACAGCATCTGGAAGTCTTGTTGATATTTTATTAAAAAAAAAAAAAGTACCTGTATTTGTTATTTCTGCCTAAGAAACGAGCACTTATTTAGCTGCCTAAAATAACACAGCTGTATCATCTCAGTGCTCCACGTATCAGGAGACCAAGTGTGGGTTAGCTGGGTCCTCTGTCCAGGGTCTCATCAGGCTGAAATAGAGATGTCAGCCAGGGCTGCAATCTCGTCAGCACTGTGGGCTCCTTTTCAAGCTCACTGGTTGTTAGTAGAATCAAGTTCTTTATGGATGTATGACTGTGACCCTCAGCTCCTAGAGCCCAGCCACAGGGGACTTGCCATGTCACCCTCTCTCTGATACAGCAGTTTGCTTTTTCAAGACCAGCAAGACAATCTGACTACTGTCTCTGATGTTTAGACTCATTTTTAAGGGCTCACCTAATTGCTATGCCCACTTTGAATAGCTCCCTTTTGATTCAAGTCAACCAATCGGGGACTTAAATATGTCCGTTAAATCCCTTCACCTTTGCCATATAAGGTAACAGGATCATGGGAGTGATAGTCCATCATCTTTGCTGTGTATTGTTGGTTAAAAGTAAGTTACCTTTTTGCCCACACTCAAGGGGAGAGGGTTACACATTGGCATGGTCATCGGGGGTCATCTTAGAATTCTCCCACCAAGAATCTGACTTTGTATTCTTTTGCAAGATTTGGTTTACTTATGTTGGGTTTATTGAATAGGATTTTTTGCCTTTTAAAAAAAATATTTATTTGGCTGCACCAGATCTCAGTTGTGGTACGTAGGGTCTTTATTTGCGGCATTTGGGATTTTTAACTGTGGCATGGAACTCTTAGTTGCAGCATATGGGATCCAGTTCCCTGACCAGGGAATGAACCTGGGCCCCCTGCATTGAGAGCTTGAAGTCTTAGCCATTGAGCAACCAGGGAAGTCCCAGCATTTTCTGCTTTTGCTGAAGAGAAATCTTCCAGAAACAAGACTCTCTGCTCCATCAGTACTGTGCCCAGATTCTGTCATTACTGCTCAAAAGACTGGAAACAAGAGGTGACAGAAAGTTTTTTACTCCCTGCCCTGGCAATGCTTACTTCTTCTACTGTGTTCTTTCAGGAAAAAGAGTCAACAGGTTACAATACAGAGGTCCCACAATCAGCTCAAAATCCCCACGGATCACATGAAATTACCCTGGAGAAGGTCACCTCACATAGGGAGATTTTCTATTGAAAGCACCCGAGGCAGAGTTGTATCCTTGGAGAGATCACAGAGGAGGCTCAGCCCCTAACACGTGGCCAAGGCAGTGACAACCATCAAATAGATAAGCTCCTCTTGCTTCAGAGAAAAACTGACTACTTCTCTCCTCCCCTGTGTGGCTTCACCAAGCCACCAGCAGCCCAGATCAGCAAGCTTCTGGTCCTCACTCCACACTCTAGCAATGAGGGATTTAACTTCTCACTGTTATCTTCTCAACGGGAAAGAGCTTTGGGGTTAATGTGAGCAACGATGTTTTCACAAAAACCATTTTGTTTCTGCCTCATTCCTGGCACTTTTCCAGGCACCTGCCCCTCCACCCCCCACCCTTCTCCCTGGTACTTCCGGCTCTTTTTCTGTCCCTCCTCCTGCCTTGCTGGATGGTGTTCAGCCATCACTTCAACCCATTCCCCAGGCTTTCTGTCATCCCTCCCTGGGCCTGCCTCCAACCCTCCCCTCAGTCTGTGATATATTGATTGTCTGAAAGGAGAAGCCCTTTGCACTAATGAAGAAATAGTGCCAAATCACCCAGAAAGATTGAAAGAGAATACCCTTTATAAGGAAAGAAAAAAAGAGGAAAAAAACCAAAAAGTTAGGGGAACAAAGAAGTGCAGCAGGACCACTCAGAGACAATGGAGACATCGAATGAATTTCTATAAAATAAAACTAAATCTTTAGACCGAGACTGAATCTGACTTTGGGTGGGGAGAAATCAAGACCTAACACTGCCAAGTCAAAGGAGGTATTGATTGCATTACAAAGACTACACTGTTGGAGGATCCGTTTCCATGGGCTCCAGAGCCCCAGAGCTGGCACAACATTAACACCTCTCTAGGGAGGATCCTCAGCACGCAGTAGCTATCGGGGGTCCACTTCTAAGAAAGTGAGTCAAGTGAGCCTGGGTTGGAATCCTAGCTCACGTACTTCCTGACTGTATGATCCTTATCAAGTCACTCATTGACTGTGTACGCAGAGCCTCGCTTTGTAAAATGGAAGCCACGTACCCACACGCAGCTGCTGTTCTGAAGATCATATTAGATGCATGGTCTGTGATAAGATTAGCCTGGCATGTAATAAATGTTCAATAAATATTGTTGTTAACACTGCCCAGATAGAGGAACAAATATCCGCACCAGGGTCATGCCGTTCAGACTTTACCCTCCTGCGTCACTTCAGTGTTCTGACCAGACTGCCTTCTTTGTTTTTGTTTTAATTCATGAGAGAGAAGAGTATTTTTTTTCCCCCTAAATTAAGAGTTCCTGGAACTTAAACATTAAAATGATCATTTGAGGCAGGAGTCATGGAAACGATTGAGGCATCTGCCCCCAAACTGCGGGTCACCTAAGTGGTTTTCCTTGGAAACTAAGTTCTGTAGAAGCATACTGCAACAGAAGCCCAGAGGAAAGCCTGGGCTTTCTTCCCTGTGTCTGTATAACTGATACCCCTATCCCAAGAAGGACAAAAGAAACAGGAACATTAGAGCAGCAGCAGCTTTCTTGGAACTAGAGTGAATCAGATCATATCCACGAGTTCATTTGGAAACTTTAAAAAACACTGGCTTGGGACTTCCCTAGCCATCCCGTGGTTAAGACTTCTTTGAATGTAGGGGGCGCAGGTTCAATCCCTGGCAGGGGAGCTGAGATCCTACATGCCTCACAACCAAAAAAGCAAAACATGAAACAGAAGCAATGTTGTAGCAAATTCAGTAAAAACTTTAAAAAATAAACTAACATGAGTGAGTGAGTGAAGTAGCTCAGTCGTGTCCGACTCCTTGCGACCCCGTAGATTGTAGCCTACCAGACTTCTCCCTCCGTGGGATTCTCCAGGCAAGAATACTGGAGTGGGTTGCCATTTCCTTCTCCAGAGGATCTTTCCAACCCGGGGATCAAACCTGGGTCTCCCGCATACACACACACAAAAAGACACTGGCTCAACAAGAAGTGTCAGGAGACAAAAGGGGCCATTTCTAATTAAAAAATAAATAATTTTTAAATGTATTAATATATTTTTAATGACACTGTTGATTTGGAAAGATTCCAAGCATACAGTTAGCAAGTGAGATACTATCTTTTCTGTAATAATCTGCTTAACCATAAACCAAGTTCAAGGCCTTCAGAAAAGCCTCACACATCATATCAGACCTGTTCTACAGATACACGTACTAGCCCTTCTCACAAAGTGTCTGGCAGCAGGTCACGATTTCTGTTTTCCAGCTAAGGTCAAAAGTCACCAGATACGAAGTGAATTAGAGAGAGCAAAGATAAGGCCCAAATTAGATTCTATTTATGGCTTGATTCCTAGTAAGTAGAACTTCTAAAGCAAGAGTTCTCAAAACTCAGTCAGCCTAAAAAATGGCCTGAGATCCTTGGCATTAAGACCCACAAATCAATTTTTATTCATTCAGCAAAGATTTACTGAATGGCTTATGTGTCAAGCAATGGAAACACAAGCAAGATCTCTCACCTCATAAAAGCTTATTGTCCGTGGGGTATGGACCAAAAACCAGACCGCAACAGGGCAACACTGCTTAACCACTGTCATAGAGATTGCCCTCACTTATTCTCAGAAGATCTTCCCAGAAATAAGGGAGTTAGGCCAAAGAGAGAGATACCCAGCGTCTATTTGCTGGACAACCACAGTATTCCAGGCCATTTTCACACTCTTGGCAATGAAGTCCGGAGGCAGGTGACATTCTATCCCCAGGGGAAGAAAACTAACGGTTTGGTGGGTAGGTACCTCCACTGCGCCTGAAGCCCAGATCGACAAAGCCCACATGACTGCCGGGGATGGAGAGAGAAAGGACTGAATGAAAACAACACAGAAATTCATGCAAGAGAATGAATGCTTTGGACTGAGAGACCATAAGGTGCTAGACAGCTCCGGCAATACTGCTCTGCAGGGGCTTGGGCGGGTAGCCCCGCAGAGC